TTAGTTATATTCAAATTTTAGCTGTCAAACACATTGACTATTCTTAAAATTCCCTTTCAGGGGGGAATAGCTTTGAATCAATGTGTACAAACTAATTCTTTATTATTATTGTTTTACATACTGGAATTTTAAGAATAGTCCAAAGCCTCCTTCACTGTTCGCCCTACACCATCTTGAAATGTACAGTGTAGGTTCGTGCCTTTGCATCAAAGCAATTAGTATAGTTTACAACATGACCAGCCATGTTGTATACAACACGGACACGAATGTTTTAAATGATTTTGAAACACCAACACTAATTAACATGAATTACAGTGAGATAAATGATGTAAAATGATGTCAACAAGGTAACTGCTGAGTTTAGCCGCTATTAAGCATGCGCAATTTACTACAACAGAGAACATTTTGAATGATTAGTCATCCCACATGGAAAGCAAGCCATCTGTTACATAAGGGAGTGCTGCTATCTGTCTTGGATTGCTTCAAAACTTAGTGAAGGTCTATTATGCGATATTAAAACTGAGACCTTTGCTTGTGTCTCCATGGTGATGGCAGTGGTGTAAAATCTGTTGCACCAGATTTACAAGGTCAATCACCTGACCAAATAGACAGCTCTTATTGGTGTATTAGTTCATGCATTACTAATGAGTTTATTATGGTTTACCTTGAGTGCTGGTGGGGCAATCGCATAATAATTGGATCCTTTGTGATATGTGATGGACTCCTGGCCTACTATTAGTGCTCCACAGAGGGGCTCGGGAACTAAAAGCATAATGAATGAAAAATGGATAATGGGATGAATGGGGTAAATGAGAATTAGGATAAGTGGGAAAATAGAGTGATGGATAAATAATAGAACAACAACATGGCTCAGTTCTTTCCTCGATCTCCACTATATGGTCAACATTAAAAACTTTCTGTATACTGAGCTCACATACCTGCGATAATTCTACATGCTTCAACTTCAACATTGTCTTGCTTCCAAGGGCCTTTTATGAACTCATGCTCTCTCAAGTTCACCTCATATGTTTTGACATGCCGACCATGAGTTTCCTTGAGAAAAACAGAAATTTTTTCAATTTATAAAACCTAATTGCAGCTGTCTAATGCCTTTTACCTTCAAAGGAAACTATACACAGGAATCCCATATACACTACAAGTAGAATTTTGAATCCTTTACCTGGTAAATGAAGACAATTGTGGGAGCATCACAGCCATGCAAAAACTGTATATCAACAACATGGAGCTCTTCAAGCCTTGAAAAAAGAAATAATCAAAATTAAAAAAATTGTTATATTTTCTTGTATTGCAAACAAGAAAATATACAGCCTTTTGCAAAAATTATGAGAATTGTCTAAATATCTAAATATCATAATATCAATTGCATGATGGGTAATCCCGCGCGATTCCTGTTTGTCCTTTGTCTGTGTAGTTTAGTTTTTTTCGGCGGTGACGGACTTATCCGTAGTTCTGAACATTTTCTCGATGTCAACAATGAATTATTCTAGCAAACCCGCGTGTTCTGGACAATATATGGATATGGATATTATGATATTTAGATATTTAGACAATTCTCATAATTTTTGCAAAAGGCTGTAATTATAGATTAACTTTATATTTGGATATTATTAAGGACCTACAGTTGTACTTAGAAATTTTTATGCTGAAATGATTCTTATGTAAAGGGAGTTTCAAATTAAAATATTCAGCTTTAACAGGTTCTTAAGTTTCTAATTGACTTTACATTTGGAAATTAAGGACCATACTTAGACATTTTAGGCCGAAATGATTCATAAGAAGTTTAAAATGAAACATTAAGCTTAACAGGATCTTAAATTTTAGGTTCTTACAAGTGAGTAAATCACATTTTACAGTAGTTTTAAGGCAAGTTATCTCTTGTTATTCCTACCACTGATAACAAACCTGATGTTGTAGGCCTTCAATTCTTTACTTGAGTCCAGTTCTAAGGGAATTACTTTAAAAAGACCGTCATAAAGACGCAGGCCAATCATRCGGCATTGAGGATCAATGATCGCAATAAGACCAGTGTCCGATGGCCGACCTATTCGATCCTGTAAACACAGAAGACAATTAGTATAGGAAATCGCACAGCCTTGAGTACAAATTGGAATTAAATTAGTCATGAGAGCTATCAAAATATTACGAGTGACTATTAAGTCCAAATTGTCAGTAATGCAGTACTTATTGAAACCTGCTTTTTGATTGCTCCTTAAGTACAGCATCACTATTGTTAGGTTAGGTTTTGTTATATTGTTGGAAGACTTATCTATTGTTTGTCCATTGTTTTCTCAACCTATCATGAGACCCGTTCCGAGCGGTGCTACCTTGCTTCAAATTGTACGAGAGGTAGTACGATTTTTTGTTTATAGTACATTTATTGAAACAAAATTTTAATTTTAAAATTAATGCTGTAATTTTAATTCTCTCAACCAATGAAAAAGTATTATTTTGTTGAATGTACTATAAAGGGCAAAATTGAGCAAAATTTTGTAAACAAAGATCTGTCCATAGAAGACATACAAATGTCCACTATACGTCTGAAATGGAGGGGGCAACTTCAAGGAGGTTATAAATGATTCATGGTGCATTATGGGACATGTTCCACCTCCTTSCTGTATACTTACATGAACATCTCCACAAGCTCTCGTCACTATATCRCCAGTCTCTTGTTTATAACCTAGAATAGCGACTCTATATCTTGCAGTAAGAACAAATAATAAATCTTGGGATTCATTCTGTAGAAAAGAAYAATTACAATTAATAATTCAATCTAAATATTCTTAAAATACAAGCACTGATTGTGCGAAAACTGTACACAAATAAGCGTAATTTAAGTTGAGCTTTAGTTAAGCTAAGTTTAATAAGCAAGTGAGCCTGTCAAAAACATCATTTCGGTAAACTTTGATCTCTATTGCCGTACTAACTTTGCTTTGCTGAAGTGATTGAGCATGGACTTACCTGTGGACGAAACAACTCCATTATTGTTACTTTGCCATATATCCCGACATCTARGACAGGACGGAGGCCTTCTGGGGTGACAAGATGAATTTCAATTCGAGTGCTCTTTGCAATGACAAGATTCAAGTCATCGGGRCCCGTAAAGTTCCCTACAACAACAGCATTCACTGCAGTTGGTTTTTGTGCAGTGACCACGTAGTTGTAAGCCATTTTCACAAAGTATTACAGGTGTTTTTGCTTTGTCAGTGAATTTTTAGGCTGCAGAAGTTTGTGTTCAAAATGGCCGCACGTGCCTCGACTCCCGCGAAAACAACTTGAGCCTTCTAGTTTATTGAAATGCGGTTACTTCTTTTTTAAAAAAATAACCACAGGTATCCCAATTCCATAAAAAAATATGAGGCATTACCTAAGTTTTGTCGTTTTTTTTTATTTTTTGACATTTCAAGTTTTGAGGTGAAGTTTAACTACAATAAAAGAAAGTTTTCTAATATGGGGATCATCTAGGGCGCTAGAAACAATGAAATTTCATTCCCATGGACGAAATGGTAAAATCCGTGTAAACTTTCTCAAAGCGCGAAGTAACGCTCAACCTTTTTGGTTTACTACAATTCCAAAGATATAAACACAAGAAAGAAAAAAAAAAAACAAAAACGTTTTAATGTTTTACATTCATATTACATTACAAACGACACATTTATGTTAAACTACTACATGAATAAGTAATTAACTTTTTTTATTTTGCGCAGTTCGTTATATCCAGAGCTGAATGGAAATCSCTGATTGTAGCCCGCACTRGTGACTAACTTTCTATTGGATCTGAACTACCTAGAGCGTTTATTATAAACCCTGACACAGTGCTTGTAATAATTGCATTTCTATTTCCATGGCACCCAGACACCACCGTGTTTCCTRGGACTAGCATTATGATCAAAAGGMGTGTTCCTAGGGGGTACCATTCCTTTYTTGTACTYCTCCAGCCATGACAACATATTGCTTACTATCTTCGTCTCATTCGCAGCCAGATTTACATATTCACACGGGTCGGTGGATAAGTCAAAC